CTCCTCAACTAAACACTCAGGTTTCATCCGAAGGAAGCTGGTCATAGCAAGCTGATCATTAAGTCAGAGGTTTTATCTGACAGGTATTTCACATAAACTAAGGGGCAGGGCCGAATTAAGAGGTCACTAGAATAACAGAATTTGGGGGTCCCTCCATTATGTATGTTGCCCACCCCGCCTTCTCATGTCTAGAAAAAAAAAAAATTTTTTTTCAGATGATACTTTTTGGTGTAAAACATGAAACAGTTCAATTCAAATTTTGAATGATTTTAATCCAATTTATTTCATTAGCAACTTAATAACATAATAAACAAATCTATTCTGTTCTTTAGTCTTCTTAGTGGTGGGGTCTTTAGTTGTGGAGCTCCTGGGTTGCAGGCCAACATATAAATCCAGCACTTTGTGTCAACTGGCTTCAGATAGCTTTGATGTCACTTTTGCACCATTCGTAGCATTTCTATTTTATATCTAAACAGTTATAAAATACAGTGGTGCACTGAACAGTAAACAAAGAAATTTGAAAAATCAGCTTAATATTCTGTACATTACTTTGGTTTGCTTACTGTGAATACAGAAGTCAGTTTTTTTTTCCATTTATTTCATTTAGAGAGAGAGAGAGAGAAAAAAAAAAAATCACAACATACCCTGGGTGGATTGCATTCTTTTTTTTAGTATTTTATAGCAGGTTATGGAAGTCCCAGGGGTGAGATGAGGGAATCATTAAACAGGTAAGTCTTTAAGTGAGGTGTGGCTACAGGTTATGGAAGTCCTGGGGTTGGGATGAGGGAATCATTAAACAGGTAAGTCTTTAAGTGAGGCGTGGCTACCTTTATGATTTCTGAAAAGATCCTTCTACATAATGGTTGGTAAGTCCATTGAGAGATGACCGTGAAAGAATAGCATGAGTTTAATGAGTGCTTTATCAGGCCCGTTCTTGAATATATCACGTGTCAGTCATGTTTATATATAAGAGATGCTTACAACAAGATGGCAAAGGTGAGAGAGAATATTTGACCACTGCATAGGAATCAATATGTTATAAACAAAAGTCATTCAGTCAGAAATGTTTCAATTATTAATGTGTATGAAACTTCTGTAAAAACCTAACAGTTTCACATGGTATATTAGAGAAAAAATATAGATGTAGGAAGAATTTCTCTTTAATGATATTTCAGAAAAAGAAATGGCAACTGCAGCATTCCTTGTCAGGCGGAGTTCAGATGGACTGCTATCATCTCAAAAGTCATCTGTAGCTGTTTCAACACTTAGCCAATTATTGACATAAACGTTATATGTAGCCTTGACCAATCATGATCAGAATTCATTTAAATATCTCAAGTACAGCTAAGTCTGGCACAGGGCTACAAACCCTAAGTCTTTGCATATTCTCAGCATTGGAAGCTCTCTTGGCTACCATTTGCTCTGGGTTTTCATTTGCACAGGACTTTCTTTTCCTCACTGCAGCCTTGGTTCTTTTGATTGCAATCTAGTCCTCTGTTGGCAGAGATTTATTTTGCAAGGCAAACTGCTGCCATATGCAATAGTTAACAATAAACTACAGAAGAAGAAAAATTGATCAGTGCATTTAAGTATTGCATTAATATGTAAGCTTACCTTTTAAAAGTTCAACAATAATTTTTCTGCCGCCACTTAATTTAAAGACAATTTGATGAATGTAGGTCCTTATTTTCCGCACAAACAATTATTTTTATTTCAGGGGTGACTTTCACTGGATTTCACAATTAATTTCAATTATTTCCAAATTTATTTCCAAGTTATAAAAATTGTTATTGTACTATTTTACAAAAAAAAAAAAAAATGAAAAAAAATCATAGTAATGAAAACTTGGGAATCCAAAATTTCAGTATTGAAGGCCTGGATCTGGCTCAGAATGTTTTCAATTTGATCAAAGTCAGCCTGATTCGAAAAGTGTATGATATATTGGACTACGGCCTCAAGGAGTAAAGTTGAAAAAAATGTGACATACTGACATTCGTATTTATTTATACAGAAGGTGGGGTAACAAAAAAAATATTACCGTAACCTGGTGATATTGAAACAAAACAATAATTAACAAAAAAGACAGCTAAACCAGTTTGTGAGTCCTCTGTCATCAAAGCAAAGATCAAGGACAAAAATGTGCACAACGACTAAAAAAATAATATGAAAACCCAATACTAATGTCATATGCAAGAATATATAACACTTACAGGATAATTACCTTTAAGCCTACCAATCACACCTTCTGTTTACATAGAACTGGTTGGTAGGACTTAATATAAACTGATTCCAACATTTTCAAGTGTTACTCATAATTAGCCTGGCTCAACACGGAGAACAAAATCAATCAAAATGTTCAGTTATTGCTGAATTTGTTATATTTACACACCTTTGATTTGCCCTAGCAAATATTGTCTGGTACATGTTGTTTGATCAGTACTTTTAATCTTTGATCCATTCTACCTACATAGTCAGCATTGCACTGACTTCTAAATTGGCAAATTACCGATCTAATATGATGGGTAGGCAGAATATCCTTCTGGATCAGTTTTATAATTGGCCAGGCACCAAAAATGATATGTAGATCGGAAAAAAAATTACAGTTTTTTTTTTTAGACAAAGATATTAAATAAATGTCAGGGAGATTTTTTTTTTTAAACTAATTATTGGTTGAATGTAAATAGAAAGAATAGTTAGCACCCAAATCAGAAAATCTTTAAAAAGATAATTAACCTGTATTTTCTGTCATATAACATTTATATTGGGTTTTCATATTGTTTTAGAGACTATGTATAGTTTTGTCTTTGATCTTTGCTCGATTGAGAGAGAAGTGAGAAAATGGTTTAGCCACCGTTTTTGTTAATCATTGTTGTATTTTGATATCACCAATTTATGGTAATATATTTTTTATTTTCAAATTTGGATGCAGATCAAAAATAGACAAATATTAAGCTCAAGCAAGTCTGGCACAAGACTATGATAAGGTGAAGATCAAACTCAGAAACAAGTGTTTGTATCACTAATTCATTATTCATTACTTTACACTGACAAAATTACAATAATTTAAAAATCTTTGTAACAGTGGAACAGGATCAGAAACCAAATCTCAACTTTTTTGTTTCTTTGTGGAAGTGGACATTGTGTGTGTGTGAGAATTCTTCTATAATTGTGCATTTAGGCAGCATTCCTTCTTTTATGCAGGTTTCATTGAAGACAACTGACAAGGCAATGTGATTAAGCTTTTTATTATATTTTTCTTGCATTTGTAAAAGTGATTTCTTTTCTAGACATAGATTTTATCTATATATAAAATTCTGTGGCGCCCATTAGACTGTCTGCCACACCCTCTAAAATAGTCACACATTGATCGATCAAAACAAAATTTAAAAATATTCTTTACCATGAAATCATATAAAATTAAATTAAAGAAATTATTAAGCTGCAAAGTAGAGTTTCTGTCAAAGTATTTATCCAAACAAATCAGCTTTGTCAAATTTCATCAATTGGTTTGTGAAATTGAACGAAACGTACAGTTTGTAAATCTGAACAAAAAATGTTAGCAATAACTTCAGCAATACTAAATACTGTGAGGATTTCAAGATGTGTCAGCATGTTGCAAAAAAATTCTAGTACGTAAAATCTGAATAAATGATTTGTGGATCCAAGCGCTTTCAGCTCCATTATCAAGGATGCTTTTTTTTATTTAAATGATATATATATATATATATATATATATATATATATATATATATATACACATACACACATCAATCATCATCATGTTGAGAATTCTTCTTGGATTCTCCAGACTCGTTCCCTCCAACCATCTCTGCCGGTAGGCACTCCAGATGGCACCCAGAGTCATCTACAAGTTGACCAATGTAGGTGCTATATATATATAAATGACAATAGGAAAACTGTAATAGTTGCTGACATGTTTCGTCCAATGTGGACTTTCTCAAGGCAAAAAACAAAATGAATTTATTTAAACAAAGTAACTAATAATAACAAAAACAAAATGTCCTTAGCAACTGGAAGAATTTAGAGAACACTATTTTCATACTGTTAACTGAAAATTATATCAATTACTGTCATGTGTGGAGATATTGTTTTTATTGCTGTGTTGATGGATTCAACCATTTTCTTTTGATTTCATGATATTGTTGTGTATGTTTGTTTGTGAGAGTAGTAATTCTGTTAAGAAAGGTGAAATAGGGAAAAAGCCTGGGTGTAGATTAATATTTAGGTAATATTCAATGGCAGCACTCTCTAGGATTTTCCTTCTGAGTGAGATATTTTCTTTTTTTATGAGTGTAGCATTTTTAAAATTAAAATTGTGGTTGAATTTATTTCTATGTATGACTAGTGCATTAGCTAAGTTGTTTTTTGTGAGGTCTCTTTTGTGCTCATAAATGAGTTTTTTTTTTAATTTCTACTTGTTTCTCCAATATATTGGGAGGAACAGTTTTAGCAATTTATTTTATAAATGCCTGCTTCAGAAATATTATTGCTATTAGTCCTTGAGGATACGAGTATATCCATAATGGTTTTGGAAGTGGTTGTGACAATACCCATATCATTTCATCCACAACGCAAGAAGAAAGGCATACAAAATATACAACCAAACAAAACTAATAACATAATCTGCATTATTAAACTACATGAAAACAGATGCATAATACTACCAACCAACTCTGTCACATCCACTATCCAGAATAACCTATCCCATCTAAATAATCTTAAAATAGTCACATTGGATGAAACGCGTCAGCAACTATTACAGTTTTCCTATTGTAATTTATATTTATAAATATTGTCTTTTCTACAGGTTAACTCTGAGAAATGTTATATATATATATATATATATATATATATATATATATATATATATATATATATATATATATGTTTTTTTTCTTTCCACTATTTTTAACCATGTTCTGAATGTAAACAAGTCCTTTATGTTTATATTTTCTACATATGTATATATATATACTTACATTTTGAATGTCAAAATCTGACTGTGGTGCAAGAATGGCAGGTGAGGGCAGCGGCTGTGGGGCGATAGGGATGCTCTCGTCATCAACTTCGTCATCTAGAATCAATCCTCTCTGGCTACCTACAAAGGATAGATACAAGAGACTTAAGACAATTTCAATAAAAAAAATAATAAAAATAGACATGGCTTGAGATGAAAGCTAATCAGTCAACAAATCAAACAGGAAAAAACAAGTTTCAAATTTATATTTACAAAAATAAAATCAATTAGATCAGAAATTATAAAATATATTTTTTTTTATTTATTTAGAACAGAACAAAGAAGTCAGAGTTGAAGATTTTTCACTCATTATCTATTGTCCTTATCAATATCTTCACTTTCTATCATTTCCCCTTTAATTCATATCATGCACCTCATTCATCATAATCATTTTAAACTTCTGCATTGAGTGACTCTCGAGCCCTATATTCGGTGAATTTTAGTTCTTTTAAAAAATTTTTTAGAAAGGAGTATCTATATAGATTAATAAAAATAAGAGATCCCTAATGCCAAAGTAAAGCAACAAGGATTTTTGCTCTTGGACTCTTTCTGTGCATTTTCCTGTGTTTTTAGGCAATGGCCACTGAACATACAATTTTCCCCATTTCACTGTATGACTGACCAAAAGAATATAAATTAGAAAATAGCTCTCGCCATTGTATAATTATCCAAAATAACATGAACCAGTCAAGTAACTTCTGATAACTTGTGAATGTTCAAAGGAAAATGATGTCGATAAGAGAAACAAACCTCCATACATACTATATATGAATACCTTCTCATTAACAGGTAAATGATTACTAATTCTTATTTCTTGATTATTAAAACACCTGGGCAGACAGAGCTTGATAGCTTTGGTTGGCAGTCTGTCTAGGAGAAGGATCACTCTGATTTCAAAACTAGGGTAGATGGGATTCTTTAGTCACCTTGATGACAATCCTTCAAGTGGTCAACGGCTTCATCCTTGTGATAAGGACAGATAAGCTGCAGCTCTGTAGCTAGTTTCTGAGTAATGGTCAGAAGATGATTCAGGACCAATCAATGTCACTTTTTCCTAGGAGAATCAGGAACAAAAGGATGTGCAGGTGGTGTAATGGATAGCAGCTCAGAATGACAAATAGGAGAGAGCCATGATCAAATTCCAGCCGAATTCATTGCATTCACTTTCATACAAACACCCTAGGGAAAGTATGAATCCATCTTATCCCCCAGCTATGGGTTAAATAAAAAAAGCAGACTGGAACCTATATCCATAGTTGGCAACCGATCTAAGAAAAAGGCAACTCTTAATTCGATCTATAATTACTGTCTGTGGTTCCCTGCCTTCAGCAATGAAGATGGGAAGAAGCAAAAGCAAAGTAAAAACACCAGATGCAACCAAGAACAGAACAAATAAAACAAACATTTTAAAATATTAAACAAATTTAGCTTTAATATTTTTCTTTTTTATCTATTATAAGTAAGTGTAGATATTGAAGTGAAGAAATCAATCTTTAAAGAAATGAAAATTTTCTTTGGAAATTTTCATTTTTCTGATATGAAACATCATTGGAACCAAAGTATTTCTTTGTTGATTTTTCTTTTTGCAAAAATTTAAACAGATATTAATTCTTCAGGTAAAACATCCTTTTCATAATTGTTAACTTTATTCATCATCAAGCAACAATTATTGACATTTTCTAAAGAAAATATTTTCATTATATAAATATATATTTGTTTTTTTGTTTTTTTTAAAGAAACCTTTTAATAAGTAAACTGCAATAAGCATAAAATATTTTATTATATTTTTTTTACATACAAATGAGTTTCTATAGATTTGTTAAATTCAAGGGAACTGAGCATTCAAATTTTATAGTTATTTTTTAACAATAAAAAAAATAATTCCATTTTTATTTTAAGAAGATTCTCCACTTTTTATTCTTTCTTACGGTTTATGAATTATGTTACTGAAATGGATTTTTGTCCCACATAACAATCTCTAAAATTTATCACCCTTTCTATAAAAATATCCAGATTATGTATGGATTGGCATTTCTGTAGGTATTTGTGTGTTCTGCCTAGAATCCAAGCATCATTCACTGGCCTTGTTCCTCAGATCAACGTATCTGTATAAACATACAAGTTATTCACTCAGCCTTTCACTGACCAGATAAATCAGCCCATGTTGTGTCTTGATTCACATTCGGGCTGATGTGCACAAAAACTGGAAAAGACCCATTGCACATTCATAGGGAAATGGAAGTAGAAAATGTCATCGCAGTGAGAAATGAAAATATGAATCCTGTGTCCAATGAATTTATTCAAGGATTCACCTGCACAGTATGAGTGATAAGTAGGTAACATTTGAGACAATCATTGCCACCCCCATCAGAATAGACAACCAATACTGGCTGAAGGGAAGTTTTTCCCCTCAGCCAATAAGGACACTTTCCCACCACTCCTCACTATGAGCAGCATGTAACTAATCTCTAACAGGTGGTCTGAAATTGCTCAAACAGCCTGTACTCTGCTAACAGATAGTATTAGAGTTAATTTCAGTTCTGTATCTGTTTACATAAGCCTTTTAAGTAGAACCCTCCAACTTCTAGCCAAGCCGTTAACATTTATGGCTGGCCACTCATATTCGAGGATACCCATCTAATAGGGCAGCTAGCCAATCCCTATTGCAGATGCTTGCTCAGGCACATTTTGTGTTTGTTCAACACCCACAGTGCCCACCTGTGATTTATACTGCAGCTATGCTGAGCAGACCTTAGCTACAGTTTCTGGGAGAGAAATGCATTATCTAGCATGATCAACAATCTGAATAAGGCAAGCATGCTCAAACCCTCGGCAATGGTGACTTGTGAGTTTTTGCTAGCACAGCCATCGATGGCCCCCAAGAGTTCCATGTACCCAATTTCACTCATATACCCAACCTGTGGTTTGGTTTTCAGTCATTTTTCAAAGGTGCTGCATGCTGTGATCACCTCTTCCAGACTGATAACATCAAGAAGTCACCTTCCTGATAAATCAACCCTGGTGAGATCTGAACCCGTGATCTCATGGTCAGAAAGCAAACATTCTAACCACTCAACCATGTGTTCAAGTGGTACCCTCATTTATTTATCTATTTATTTTATTCCCTTTTGGTCAAGTGGTGGCCATTTTGAAGATTATACTTTGTAGATTTTATTTCTGGTTATAAAAACACCAGACACTTCAGGCTCAGATACAATTTCATTTTGTCACATCTGTGCATTCTGCGAGAATCAAATTGTTGCTTTCTGGCCCTCTGCCTAAAATTAGTGTAGTATCTGTGCACTCTGGGAATTACACATGCAATATATATGGATTCATATTGTGTTTTGTATACGTGGACTTTACTACATACTTATATCAGGATATTTCTAACTTTATTAGTATTCTTGGTTTTTAATTCCAATTTGCCTTTAAATTAGTACACTAGCTCCTAATTGTTAAATTAGATGCCACTTAAAAGTCATTAAAATATTGTATTTGCCAGCACATTGGATGCAGATTTTTTTAAAAAAAAAAAATGCACCAGAAAATTGCCCTGCTTCTAATACAGCAGTATGAGAAGGGCATGAAGATAATGATAAAAGTGGGGTTCACCAAGAACCAGTGCCTACATAGAGCTTAGCTTTGAAACTAGGACTCCTGGAAGTAAACAAACATAATATCAGTAAAAATTCATACACAGATGTCCTCAAGGACACATGGCACAGTGGATAAAGGTGTTAGTTAGATCCAGTGACAGGACCCAAAGAATGTGAGTTCAATACCCGGTTAAGGCAATGGGAATTAACAGGAGATAACTGATAACTGGCATCCATAGAACAATCTAACCCAGTGAGCGAAATAAAGGGTTCAGTTTGACATAAAATTTATCCCTGAAAAATTCCCCCAGTAAAAAGAAATTAAGGTCTGTAGCTCAGTTTGACGTCTGAAACATACACCCAGATCAAAGTAATTAATTGGCACCTTATCTCACAGTATTAGCCTGCCCAAACAAAAACGTGGCAGGACCATAATTAGTATGATAAGTAGCCAGTACTAGATAAAAGTACACTTATAATTTGGATTATTTTAGCTGTGATGTGTGCATTTTTTTTTCATAAATATTCTGATCCAAAATCTGTGTGTGTGTGTGTCTGTCCAATAGGCCAAACAATACTGTAATTAAAATCTGTAAATCTTCAAAACAAAATTATCATTTAAACTTTGAATCTAATTTCCAACTCAAACTGTTGCCCCTGAACATTGTTGTTTTATTCTTTTTACTTTTGATTAAAAGTGAGAAACTAAAGATGATATGGTGAGAAACTATCATTGCCCAACACTAGAGCAACTCTAGCAAAGAAGTGGCTGGGGGAATATGAGGGGGTGCTGAAAAGTTCTTGTCCTGACCCACTTCCCCCAAAACCTCACCAAATACCTGATGCTTTTTTTTTTTGTTAAAAATCTCTTCTTAATCATGCAAAAAACTTTCTTTACAGCACACCCTTCTATATCGATATATTTTTATATCAATAGAAAAATTAAAGTTTTATTTTTCATCTGAAGGAAGTTGTGTAAAAATGTCCACACTGGCTTCCTTACCATCAGTAGAAATGGTGGGGATATCACTGTCGCTGTCACTGAAGTCTTTGCTATCATCAGGGGTGACATTAAATGCAGGCACATCCGTCACACCATCACTGTTGTTCACTTCAAAGTTACCACCTGGGCCATCATAAGCTGAAAACAGAAAAGTAATCAAAAAAGAAGCAACTAAGTGAAAGTGCCATGATTTGAACCTGAATCTCAAGATTTGGACTAACTGCATTTACATGCTTTATTTGCGTTTAAATTTGATGTAACACCATCTCTTCCTCCCAACTTTGATTTGGCTCTTTGGTAGACAAAGCTAATTTTAATATATATATATATATATATGCCTTTAAGTCAAAAGATCAACTTTCCACCAGAAGCAAATTTCCTTTTGCCCTGAAAACTAACACAAAAAAATTTTTACTATTTGACCATATATATCATACAAAGTGTATATATGAGATAACAATATATATTTTTATATATCAAGAATAGTATTGTAGAAAATGTATGACAAAGTGGAAAAAGTTTACTTGTGACATGTTTTGGGAATTTTGACATAAAAAATTTGATCAAAAAGAATTAATTCACTATGACATAAATGTCTATATATATAAGAAAATAAATTTGTGCCCTGGCTCTTACAATATTTCACTATTCCTGGCAGAATTTCTATTATCACAGTGTGGGATATCAAATAACAAAAGTGATGGGAAGAACAAGACTCTAAATGAATTTGATGACATATATATAAAAAAACTAAAAAACCCTGTTCATCACAAGTGCAAAATGTCTGATGAAGTCCTGAAGGACAAAATGCATCACAAGTAAACTTTTTCATACATTTCACGATATACACTACATACACTACATACATACATACATACATACATATATATATATATATATGAGTCAAGACTTAGATGTGACAGGCCGTTTCATGCTACATGCAATCGTTAGGCCACCTGACAATTGCGTCTAGCATAAACAGCCTGTCGCCTCTAAGTTTTGATTTCTATGTTCACTTTTATTTATTTATATATATATATATATATATATATATATATATATATATAGTGTAAGTAAAATAAGTAAAGTATTTAATGACTTATCTTACAACTCAGAGTTTTGCAGATATAAATCCACATGTCAGTGAGTAAGAAAAATTTATTAAATTTATTAACAGATATATCTATTTTAAAATACATTATATTACATAAAAAAATATTCATTTAAAATTGTTCCATTATGTGTATTGGATAATTTGACCATTTTTGAAAGGCATTTATATAAAAATATAGTAAATGTTTCTAACTATTTATAATTCATTAAATTTTAGGCGCATTTAAATTGTTGTAATATTCAATATTACTGACTGTATTCTTAGGTCAGTATAACTGTTTATTTTTATATTTACTTTATTTTTAATTTTATTTTTCAATTTTTATTTTTATTATTTTTTGTAATTTTATATTTTTACGTTTTAGTTAATTTTATTTATTTTTTTATTTTATTTATTTATTCATATATTTATTTATTCAACTTAAATTTAATTATTTTTTATTGCTATAAATAGGAACATTTGTAAATAAATTATAAAAGGTTCTAACAATTCAAAGGTTATTATATTAAGTGTATTTGACATCACAAAATAAATAAAATTATTAATTTATAAATTTTAATCTGTTTCTATATAACAAAGATGTTCATCAATATTTCTGCATTTGTCTACAATTTTATTCTTTTTATTTAACAATTTGTTTTGATTTTTTAAACAAATTATTTTTAATTTTCTCCTAAACAGTTTGCTATTGCTGTTATTAATATTACAAGGAGGTATTATTTTATGATTTTCTAATTAATGTTGGTGGAGATTTTTTTTTTTTTTTTGGTTGCTAAATGTATTTAGAAAGAGTAGTGTCGTTAGCATATCTTCTTTTAAAAGACATTTTTTAATAATATATTCTATAAGCTACTGTAACAAACAATATTAATACAAAAGAAAAATTTGATACAGGGGAAAAATTGAAAAAAAAAAAAAAAAAACACACACACCAAAGGAAAGGTATTATAATCATAAAATATTTTCCTAAGAAAAGCCTTCTGTTATCTTAGATCTCTAGTGAAAGATTTAGTAATGATTAGATCAATTAGCAAATCAAAAGAATTATAAATGATAGGTTTAATATCATCATTATCCTGACAGCAACAGCTTTACACTCTTTTGTTACACAATCTCTCAATATTCAACATTATAAAATCTAAGAAACTCCTCCGTGGGACTACCTAACTAGAAACTTACATTTGGTCAAAACAAGTGATCTCCTGCATCCCTACTAGTACAAAATTGATCTTTAACGGTCATTTTCAAAGATTTATGTCCCTTATTTCCAAAATAAAAAAAAAAAAGTCTTAATCTTGAAATACCACTGGTCTAAAATATTTCAGGTACAACATTACATATATGTCCACAAAGGGAGGAAATGTTTGGCATTAAGTCTCGTTTTTATAATCACACTTTATGGATAACTTCTTCCACTAGAACATTGTTATTTTTTTCTTTTTAGCTTAATTACCAACTTTTCATTATTATTATTATACCAATTCCACATTGTAAACGAGCCTCACTAACCCACAATTAGATGTTAAATGTTATTTAAATCATTTGGTACAATACTCCCAATGCTTCAATATGACAAACTTGAAAAACAGTTAAAAAAAAAAAGTCAGTAATTTTTTAGATGCAAAAATTATAGGTGAATGAACTACACTAGTTGTCTGCAAAAGAGATATGTTCAGGGTGCCCAAGTGAAAAATGAAATAAACTTTTCTTTTTAAAGACATATCAATGATCCCCCGTTAAAATAACTTGAAAGTATTTTGGTTTCTTGATGATTTTTTCTCTTGTTTATGATTGAATTTTGAAAAAGACGAAGGTCATTATTCAGATGGAAAGCTGAAAGATGGAAGGAAAAACAACAGAAACCAAAAGAAAAAAAAATTAAATTTTGACGCTCACTCTTTTCATCTAAAAAAAATTGTCAGCCTTCAATCAGAAATGTTCCCTGAATAAAAGAATCTGGATTATTTTAGAAGAATTGCTCTTCTTTCTATTTGTCTTTCACTATTTCTCAGTAAGGATGGAATTATTTCTTTTTGTTGAGATAATTGAGAGTGTTGCTTATTTCTTTGGGAATCTTCACACAATTTAGCTTTCATTTTAAAAAAACAAAAACAAAAATAAAACAATTACATTTTCAATCCTATTAGATATAGCAAACTTTATCGTCTTTATTTAAAACATTAAAGACAAATAAAAAGAAAACTTCTTAAAGTTAAAGGAACTGGCTTTTCATAACTTTAGGGGTGAAATATACAATTAAGAAAAACTAGCCAAAGATTTAACCTACAGGCAGGATTTTAAGTTAGTTCTTGCAGAAGGTCTAAATAGGGTTTCTGGCTTCAATAATGGATCACAGATTGGAATTATATTTTATTTGAAAATTATCAACAATATGAAATTTTGGATCATATTTAATTTAAATATTTGGCACAATTTCACATAAGATTTGAAATCTTCTAAAATCTTTGGAAACTTACATTCTTTTCTGGGCATTTATTACTGTGAAAAAACAAACAAAAAAAACCAGGCATAAAAGCAATGTTTTTGTGAGGAATTAATAAATGTCACTGATATTTAAAGTTCCTTGATGACTCTTGTTTATTTTACTAATAGAAATGCAATATTGTTTTGATGGTTTTGTAAGTCTTGATTTTTAAATGACTAGAAAAAAGTTATGGAAAAAAATGGCAAGAACTTTGGTTTCTGGTATTTTTCTGCTAGGTATCCACTTTAGATGCTTAAATAAATGGAAAAAGATTCCGTTTAACTAACCAACTAACCTAATGGAGTCCAGTTTAGCATTAGACTTATATTATAAACCAAACTCCTTGCTTTAAAAAAAAAAAAAAAAAAATATGCTCCAGGCTCCTATAAGAAAGTACAGAAAATTTGGTGGGTTTACTTCTTGAGTTATGCAAAGATAGACAAAATTATGCTTGTTGAATTACATTAAAAATTTCATTTCACAAAGCAAATGTTGAAAAGAAAATCTGAAATAATTCCAAGATTGAAAGAAAATGTTTAATTTCTTGTAAACAGAAATGTACATACTCTTTGAAAAAGAGTATGTACATTTCTGTAAAAAAAAAAACAAAAAAAACCTCAAGAAAAAGTTAGAGTTTCAAATGTTTTCAAAGCAGGCCCTACTGAATTTGGACTTTAAGAACATATCTTTTCATATGCAAATCTGTCACTAGTAAATTAATAAAAATGAATAAAGAACTGAACAAACCTATGACCACAAAGGTGGTGGTGGAGGGAGAGAGGAATGTGAGATATGAATGAAAACTACTTTGCCTAACAAAAAAACTACATTAATCAGTTTCTAAAGTGAAATTGGCCACTATCTCAAAAATGATCTACAAGTTGTTAACTGGAGCAAAGAACGGCTTATTAATAATTCTCTGATACTCAGCAACTCCCTTGTGTCTTAGTGTCCTTGCTTGAGGTCAAATTATTAAAACAAAAACAAACAAACAAACAAACCCTCATGGCAGTAGATTACATGAAAAGTGTTCTTAACCTTTAACACTCTACATTATTTGTAAATATTCTCGTTCCACTATATATGGTGCCTCCTCAAATACAAACTGCAGAAGCTGTGATCTTAATTTAAGTCAAGGCTGTTTTTTGCTGTTGCTATAGCAGGATGTGACAACACAATTGTGAAATTTAACTATATGTAGATAAATTAAAATCTTAAATATTTGGCAGTTGGAGTCAACTGACAGGACAAATGCTTTCCTTGGTGAATGAAGTTACCTAAAGAGTGTTTAAGGTTAAAGAGAAACAAAATTTACAATAATTCAATTTTTAATGGGAACATTATACATTAAATATTTTATAATAAATTTATTTTATTTTAAGAAATGTTAAATAAAATGGAAGCTTTGAGATTTGAATTGATAACCTGATTAAAAAAAAATTCTTTGAGCTTAAAATATTTTTGATTTAATGTCTCAGAAATTCTGAAGAAATGATAAAAGAAAAATAAGACTGACCATAATTTGTATTGGCTAAGGACAATTTGGATGATGGAGACTCAATCATCAGTGGACGGGATTCCTCTTGGTTCTTCCTCCCTGAAGATGGTCGGCAGTCAGTTGTTGGCTGCATAATTCTATTCTGTCGTTTTCTTTTAAGTTCTTCATTGATACGATCTCGCTGTAAAATAAAGAACAAAAATGATCACACAACGACAATAAACATTGCAATGGCAAAACAAAGACAAGAATTTTTTTCTTCTTTTATGTTTTACCTCATATCTTGAAGTAAAAATAAAACAATAATTGAAACAAAGGACAAAATGTCAAACTTTGGTGTCTTTGGTAGAGTTTCAAACCTATTATTGGTCACTGGAAATATTTACCACAAAGGCTCTTGGGGAAGGCCCTGAAAATTTTCACACACACATGAACAGAGATTGAGATTGGAAATTCACTTTGAAATCAAATTAGAAAGAGTTGCTTACTCTCTAACCCAACTAATATGAACATTAGACTAGAATTGTGTCTTGGGAAAAAAGAATAAAGGACTGAGGAAAATATCTCCTATAGACTCTTGTCTTACAAAGAACCAAGAAAAGAAGATAATGTATCCAATGACAAAACATTGTGATTATTACTGTAACGTTTGTTGGTTTGGTATATGTGGGAAAAAAAAAGTGAAGAGCAAAAGACGATATTACAATTCTGAGGTTGAAGATGATGACAATTCTTCTTCTTCTTATTATGATGATGATGAAACAACAATCAAATTGTCAATGTATGATACAAATAAAAACACCTGCAAAATTCACCTATATGATTGATTGATTTGTTTTTTACAGTTTATCAAACTTTTGCAGGTTATTTAAGGCCAGAAGATATTTTAGAATGTAAAAAGTTCTTGAGGCTAATAATAATTTACTGATACAGGTTTCAGTAATTAACCCATAGCTGGGTGAGATGAGATGGATTTATACCTTTCCTAAGTGTATTTGTGAATAAATGAATGTAACAAATCTGACTGGAATTGGAATATGGCTTTCCAATTTCAAGCTATTATCCTTTACACCATTTACATATCCAAGCTTATAGTATACTGGTATTCCAAAGTGTTCACCCACCTAGGTACTGACCAGGCTTGATTTTGCTTAACTTCAGTGACTGTTTGAGAATAGACAATAAGGCTGATATCGTTGTAAGCCCAAAAATTCACCTATAAATAAGTAAGTAAACAAATGCTACTGAACTGAAATGCATGTGTTGCATTATTCAATATTTGGTGTTTGAACACCTGATTTCTTTTCACACGTGGCTGAAATATATATATATATATATATATATATATATATATATTCTGAAAGGCGACATTCAAAAATATCTTTATATATGATTCATATGTGGATCGTGAATTTAAAAACTTTTTACATTAAAGTGAAAATAAGATGCATTTTTATCATTTGATGCTTTTTTTTATTACTGGAAAGGAAAACAAAAGGCCGTACAAACAGCAAAGATGATATGTGCCATTCATGGAGATGGTGCTATAGCTGAGAGTACTATCTATAATTGGTTTGCTAGGATCTGAAGTGAAAATTTTGTTTTGGGAGACTGATAACATGCCAGGAGACTGCAGTCACTGATGATGACCAAATTGAAACACCAATTAAAAATAATTCAGGTCAATTAACAAGATATCGCAGAGATATTCTACAAATCTCATAAATGTTGAAAGGCATTTGAAAATGCTTGGATTCATGAGTTGATTTGATATTCAGATTGATTGATTTGTTTTTTATGGTTCATCAACCCTTTCCAGATTATTTAAAACCAGAACATATTTTTATATTGTAAGAATGTTTTTAAGATAATAATGATTTAGCGATATAAGTCCTACTAATGTACTACCATGAACCCCCTCCAACTGTGTATTACAAAAGGGTGCCTTCTGCAAAATCAGACATTGATTTCAGTCAAATACTGTTTCCACGATGAAAGGCAGCAATTAATGGAAAGCATCTGGAATTGGCCAATTAGTTGAGTGTAGTCTTGACAACACTAGTCTTCATATCTCTTTGGGGATATGCTAGATAGTGATATAACTTGGCTGAGATGTCTTGCTACATTTGTCATATTCACTTTACTTAGCACCTTCAAATTACTGTTTATTTTGATCCCTACAAGAAAAAATTGCTTGGTCAGAAAGAGGTCAAATCATGAAACTACCTCAAGGATGTTGAAAGGCACAATAAAGACAAAATAAAAAATTGAATAAAATGGCACATATGTGGTCGAATAAATCTATGTACAAATATCTAAACGTTTTCTTTGAAATTCGCTGAAAATGCTACAAACATTCATTCTGATCCAATGTTTTGCAAAAAGTCCAAACCTAGGAAATGAGCAACCAGTCACTTAAATTAAAATTCAAAGAATTTTCCACAGTAAAATGGTAAAAGAATTGACCAAATTCCATGGCCGCTTCTTTTTGTTTTATTACCAAACTTGTTTCATTTATTTTAATTTACAAATACAAAATCAAGATGAGTTTATTACAGTTCTGCTTACCATTATTGGTACCCATGAAATTTAAATATAGAATGTTTCCTGAGAAAAAGGAATTTAGAGAAACAGCATTGGCACTCATATTTGGTTTGGTTTGCTTTGTTTTACAGCATATCAACCTCAATGGGTTATTTAATGCTGACAAAATCTTTATTGCTGGTACTATTTTTTTTCTTCAAAAATGTATTGCTAGTATTAAAACCTATTTTTACACGTTTTGACCCCAGTTTGTGTTAACTATTTGCCTATAGCTGGGACCCTAACAGGTACCACTCCAGGTCAGGGTGGACCTGGGAAAAACCAGCAAATAAGAGGTGGTTCCATGTTCCTCAAAACCTCTTGATCAGAGGCCTTGCTGTTGGACATAGATGTACTCACATTTGGTATAGAGTGTCATAACACAGACACTAGCACTCTTCAAATCAATTTAAAAATAATTACATTTAACTCACCTGTGATAAATTAGACATTAGATTCAGCTATGATATGACTTGAATTATACCACGAATGATGATTTTAATGATTACAGAGGCCACTTGTTTCTCCCTGTCCATTTTTCGCAATGTTAATGACAAGGAAGTTGTGTGAAAATATTACAAATGCTATTATCATGAAACACAAGACATCTAAAAAATACAAGACCATCTCCAGACATTGGTATCCTTGTTTCAACAAGGCATAACAATAATAATTTTTCTAAACATACTAAACTCTAAATTGGGTCTATGTACATTGAAGGGAAGAGAAGAAAATCAGTGGTTAAAGAAGTTGATGCCAAATGGGGGGGAACATTGTGTAAAATTGTCCAAAGATTGAACTGAAACAATCTTGTATCATGGTTTCAATGCTTAACATACAAAGCACACTAAATCAAGTAATTACTGATCTTTGACAATTGGACAGGTCTTCTGAGGACAGACAAAACCAAATAAGACCTTTTTTGGCCATGTATACTAGCAATTTGTTCATTTGTTCATAATCAAAGCTTATAAAGAAAGAAATATTTTGCATTCAATGACACATGGTGGGAGATTTGTAATGGTGTTGGTCATTATCTGGAGACCTTGACCATATTGAAGGAACCATGAAATTAAAGCACTACTAAATGATTTTTATACTGAAATATGATGAAGTCATCAAGACAAAAGAACAGGAACTGGAAAATTAGAGTGTGTTTGGTGTCTCCAAAAGAAGTACAGGAGAGGGACTAGAAGACACTGTCAGCATGCTGGGGGTGACAGAGAAGTCTTTAGCTTGAGGAAAGAAACAAGTGAAAGTCAGTGGAGTAAGTAGTCATGGTCAAATGTAAAATAAATAAGAGAACTCTCCAATCATCAGAATTAACAAAGTTTGTAATAAAAATAAAAAGGAACAGGGCAAAAATGAAATAATATCAAACAAGCAAATAATATATGCAAGGCAAATTAATGGTAAGAAGGTAAAAAGTTCACAAATTGGCTTCAACACATCAAAGCAAGTTCGGACAAGTGAACATTGGGACTGTATCAAACTGCAAACCGGCTTATTTTATTGGCTAAGAAAAATATCCCAGCATGCATTTGTGTGCCACTGCCTATGAAAAAAAGAGGAGGAAGTGTTTTGCGATCATTCCTAATAGGATTGAAAATCAACAATCTGTAATAGGTTTCAAAGAAGATAAAGAGTGTTTATGGGGTTGGAGGGGAGTGGATTCGTTGTTACTTGTTGCTTTATCAGAAGGTAGGTAGTAGTAGCAGTCCTTCGGGACAGCCGCTAGTTTGGCCTAAAGGTTCAACAAGCAATCAATTTGAGGTCACCATACATAAACAAAATAACATACGAAATAGAAGGGTATATCAGAACAATTTGTATTAAAATACAACATCAATGAATAGTACAATTTTCTTGATTCACACGCACAAAAGTCCGTTATAAAAATGTTCATTCGTATAAGAGAAATTGGATTATTAAAGGAATATAAGAGTCACTTTGTTAATACTTAAGTTTAAGGCGTGCTGGTCACAGGAGATGAAAGGTGAGGTCAATGTGTTGGTAGGAGTCATTCGGTATCTCCGGTGGTGAAAGGAAGACTGAGGCGTCGAGTTTGATGGGTGAGGAAAGCGTGGCGACATTCTCTGTGGTACTTCAAAGCTTTCTCTACCAGGAGTGAATTTATCGCTCTATTTATTTGTGCCCATCGGCTCAGAGTCAGTCTGCTGAAGCAAACTGTTGGGTATGGCGCAGAGCCGTTTATTGGTGGAAATTGCTTATTATTCTTTTATTTTTTTTATTTTCCACGGAAATTCTGCGTGGAGCTGGGTGTGCAAAGACCAGTATTGGTCATTTGCTATTTAGACCTCTGAGGGTTAACATCCGGTCCTTCGCTTGCTCCGTGCCACCACATGTTCAATCAGATTCTCCAACTCCTAGTAAGTCTATACTTAGAATAGGCATGGAAGTAAGGGATGAAAATGTGAAACAATATACATCAAAGTGGTATTTTTGCAGGGTAGACAACTCGATAGATATATTTATTACGCCACCTATAGAAATAAAAGAAGATGGTGTAATATGGAAGTTAAAGAAAGCAGCAAATGATCTTAATGATGCATCTCAAAATTGGTACTTCCGTGTAAA